TTTTTAAGGTTAAATTTTGAAAAACATTTTGCAGATCCTTAGTTTGAGTATGGATTCACACAAGTGTTCATCCAATTCTTTCAAACCAGGGCTCTGATACCACCTTGAAACACTCCAAAAATCAAGAAAAAAATTTCATTTTTAAAACCATATCAAAATCCATAGATAATACAAATCATAGTTTCCAAAAGTCAAATCATTAATCAGAGTATCCCAAAATAATAAGTCAAATAAATATCGAGGATGATGTGCAAAATCATGCCTTCGTCTTGCCCCTATCCTTAAATGCACCTGAAACCATAAAATCAAATTGTAACCCCAAGATTAGTAAGTTCCCCCAAACTACCACACACAACCAAACAGATTAAAACATGTATATATGAGCCTTCAACCTTACTGGACCGCCTCGCAAGGCCTATACCCTATATGGACAGCTCTGCGGGCCTATAGCCTGACTGGACCGCCTCGCAAGGCCTACAGTCTATCCAGACCACCCTGGGTATCTTGTCCTTCAGCGCAAAGCAGGACCACCTCAACCCAACCCATCACAGTACGTCGACATATGCACATAAACAAATAACATTTATTAACCAGCAAAACAGGTAATCATACAAGTCTACCGACTATCCAATCTCTACAACATATCAGATTCTATATACCAAGATACATACAACTCCATAGGGTCGTCATTGGTGCCTTCGACCCCCGAGTATAGTGAGGAAGAACTCACCTCAATCAACTGTTAGATAAAACACAAACTAGAGTTGTTGGCCCCCGAACTCCTCATGCTATTAATTCACCAAAAAGCCTTAAATCAAAAACGAAGGTAAAAACAACAAATCAATAAGTTCTTAGAGTAAAACTAACCCCTCTAAGGGAAAAAGACCATTTTCCCTTCCCGATTCCTACCCTAATAGTTGAGCAAAAGTCAACAGGTCAAAAAGTCAAAGGTCAGAATTCTATTGACCTATGCACTACGTACTCCAGCTCTACGCATGGCGTAGAGACTTATCTAGAAAACGGGGTTCTACCTAGGTACGTGGGGCGTAGGCTAGATTATGCACTGCTTACGCCTCAAGTTCCAAAACTTCACATTAAGCACTTATTTCCTTAAGACCTTTCACACAATACTCAGATCTTACCCTAATGAGCATTTTTAAAGCATAAAGTTTCCAACTTAATGCCTTTTCATGGCTAAAGAGAATCTCAATCCAAAACCCTAGATTACTATACAATCCCAAGCTCCATATCTCATGCATGGATGGAAAGAAGGGACCAAGATTGCATTTTTATGACTCCATGCACACAGGCACGTCTGAAAAGGATAACTATAAGTCGCGGAGTAGCTTATACCCAATTAGATCAAGAATATGGGACAAAAAGGGGACATTAACCTAAAGACTAACTAGATCTAACAAAAAATTCATCAATTTCTAAACTTTATACTTCTTGGAGAATGCATATGAGATGCAAGTCCCAGATCCACAAGGCTTGAAGCTTCCCAAGATCTCTCCAATGGAATCCTTCCTTGAAAGATGATCACAAAACACTCAAAAGAGATCAAAACTCACAAATAGAGGTTAGGGTTTCGAGGTGGTTGCTCCAAGGGAGTGGAGGCTGATAATAGAAGGCCTCAAGGGGGTTAGAGCCTTTAAATAGGGCTTAAAACCCCGAAATTAGGGTTTATGCTTTAGGCACTACGCATTGCATAGCTTGAGCTACACAGGGCGTAGTTCATTAAACCCCTGAATCCAGTCTTCCTCCTACGCGTTGCGTAGGGGCTACATTACGCCCTACATAATGGCCAAAACCCCCACTAATTGCATTTTATTTAAGGAAATAAGTTTACCTAAAGGACAGTGTTATACACTTTTGGTGACATCAATATTTGTTATTTCACAAACCAATCCTTCATCGGACATTTGATTCAGTATAGGTTCTTCAACTTCATTAAATACATATTGTGGTCCGATTTCATTCAAAGTTATTTGATAGAGTCGTTTTCAGATTACTTTACTTTCATGAGTGGCCGATTTGTTTTATCATGTATCCACATGTATAATCCAAGCATTACGATCTGATTACCATTTTGTGCAAGTTGACCCAAGCTAATGATGTTACTACATAACTTTGGTATGTAGTATACATTTTTTAGTAGTCGATTTTCACCATTTTTACAAAGGAATAAATCGATCCTTTGCCTCCAGTTCTGACCTTCGAACCAAATCCAAACTTCACATAACCTTGGATCGCTTCATTGAGATTTTTAAACTTAGTCTTGTCACAGATCATGTGATTACTTGCGTCATTATCAAGATACCATACCTTGACGTTTTTTTTTCTCTTTTTCCTCTGTTATTAGCTTTGGGATATCGTTTTCTTCATTCAAGAACACTTCATCTTCCAGGTCACTATTATGGAGTACAACCATTAGCAAAGTTGGGTCATCATCGATGTGACCTTAGGCTAGGTTTGCTTCATATTCTCTCTCATCTTGGGTTCTTGCATTCTGCAACATAGTGCACATATTCTTGGCAATAGTAACATTGGATGTGACTCTTATCTTGATTATCATACGCACCATGAGTGTCTTCACGAGACTAATGGTTGTTGCCTCTTCCATGACTTCCACGATTTGCGTAATTTCCACCGTGACTTCTTCCCCGACCACCTTGGTTTTGTATGTTGCTTCGATTGCTTTCCCCTAGCGAACACACATGGTCTTCGTTTTGTTTTTATACCTGTCTATCCATTCTTGGTGAGTAAGTAACAATTTCATTTTATCTTGTTTTTTGTGTTCAACATGCCTATGGATTCTCTCATCACGAGCTTTGAGTCTTCCGACAACTTCTTCAACGGACATGGTATCAAGATCAAAAAATTGCTCGATGGTTGATGGTATCACCCAACGCCCGGATATTGCTTACGATGTTACCAATTTTTGCAAAAAAATCATTAACCGACTCAAATTCTTCCATGCTAAGAATCTCGGACCCCGCCTTCAGAGACTACACTTTCACTGTTCGAACTCGATTTGCTCCTATATACAAGATCTTGAGTGTTTCCCACACTTCATTTGTCGTTTGCTTCTCCACTATTGACAACAAGATCTCTTACGAGATGGCTTGATAAATCGCTTCCATGGCCATCTTATCCTTCTTGATACCAACCAGGTTTTGGGGATTCTTAGGTTCAATCGCATCCCAAACCTCCTATGCTTCCATGAACACATTCATGTTCATCGCCTATGCAACATAGTTGGGTCTAGTTAAGATGGGATAATGCATCTTCGGTCCTTCCATGTTTTCGGTTGTGATCGATCGACTTTCCTTAGCTCTGATACTAAATGTTGGAATCAATTCTCTTGATTCTTTCAGAATACGATTATTCAGGAATCAAATTACTTGATTCTATGAATGTGTGTCATAAACAAAGAAGGGAACTGAATAGACAAATCAAACTTTTCCATAAACAAAGAAGGAAACTGAATAGGGAAATCATAACAAGGCTTAACAGGGATCAATTTACTTGGGAATGAGGAATGTAACAGAACTTAACTATGCTGGAAAAAAAGGAACAATTGAATATGGGAAAAACAAAACAGGGGACACAAGACTTTTCTATGAATGTACTTGTTTTCCATGTTTTATTACTGAAAAAAGACTGATAAAACTTAATCAAAACATCATACATCTATACCCTATTTACAGGGGCGTAACCATGGCTATACCAAGGTGGGTCTTAGGACCCACCTAATTATCTTAATTGTAAGCTTAATTATATTGCAAAAATTTAGGGGAACTACCTTAGAATTTGTGAAGGAACTATCTAATATTTTGTTTGTAAAAACAAAAATATGTATCATATTTTTGAACACCTGTGTGCTATTTGTATATTATAATCCATATAAAATAGCACAATGCCTAAACCAACTTAAAATTTATCCAACAAAAATTAGCCTAATCCATTAAAATTAAAATTTAAAATAATAATAATAATAATAATAATAATAATAATAATAATAATAATAAACAAAAGCCCACAACTGAATCGTCGCCTATACTTTCGGGTTTTGCGCTCCATCAACTCAGACGCACGAGTACATGCCACACGCTGATTCGACAAAAAGACCAACTATGGAATTTTATCATGTGAAAAAGATGTATTAGAACGTTTCGATTAAGATATGATTATCAATATATTTCAAATTATAAGACCTCGTCCGATGCAATTAAAAAAACGTTTGATATTTTCACCCGACCCGCGCTATTAGTATATTTTAGTTTGGTATATGTGTCAGTGTTATTTAAGTAAGCAACCCCTATTTTTACTAAACTAATTGGAATCCTAAGCTAACTCAAAATGCTTTAAAAATAAAGAATTTCCAAAATACCCTTGAGACTAAAAGTGTGCCGGTTTCAGGATTATCCCAATAGTGTCTTCAATGGTGTAGTAAAAGACTGTAATGTTATAGCTAGTGAGGTGAAAAGCATTGCTTTGAATTGGTTTAGAGTTAGATCGAGAAAAGAGGCGTGTCTTAATCGGAGTGACTGTTGTGTCGACCCTTTTGGATAATGTAAAAAACTCATGTAGTTTTAGCGCTTTCTTGAATGAAATGTTTACTGTTCAAAAAAAAAAAGTTCTCAATCTTACCTTATAAATTTGCTCATTATGTCATCATAAAAATATTAGTAATTTAGCTTGCCAAGTTTTGTACGAAGAGACATTTTATGGCACAAATATCAGGTAAGGTAGGTTTATAT